GTATGAGCTCCCGCAGCAACTCTTTATCCCAATCATTCGTGAAGCGGAATACCATTAGATCAGGCTGCTGATTTCTTTCTGAGCTCGTACCTGCGAGTTTGTTTGTGCTATTCTTAAGTAGATTCGTCCTCAAAACTGGCCTTGAATACCACGTGATGCTTTCCCCATTTCGGTTTAATGCTAAAGGCATATTTAACCCATTTTGAGCAACCCAACTTTCGGTTGAAAATTGGAAAACCGAACTAATCTGCTAAAAGCCTCTAATGACTGTTCGGTCATGTTCTCTGGATTTTAATCCGACACGGTCTGATTTTCGAAATGGTGGCAATAGAATAAAAAGCTGTCACTATCGATACGGTAGAATCGTTTCAGCACGGCGTGTGTGACGTTGTTTGTGTCTCAATACACATTCCACAATGATGGTCTTGAAATTCACTCACACGCGTAACAACCCTCAATTGTATCCATAGTCCTCAGCGATCTATTAATAGTTGACGGTTGATTTTCAAACCCCGACTACATCATCTCGACAGTTGCTCACTAAGACGTCGGAAAGGTTTGGGATTGATTCTTGGGTCTATGTCGCTATACTGTGAGTTAGTGGAACGTCAGACTGCGTGAGTAAGACAGTCGACTCATTTGTTGGAAAACACTGCAGCAAGAGTATACTAACATCCTTCTGGGTCCTCATCCAGTCCCGCGTCGTTGTTATCGACTCCACATCATGTGTCTCCGAAGAAGAAGGTGAGCTCTGTGGTTACTCTGTTGCCAGGTCCGTCAGGGAATGCTAGCTTCAAATCTGGCTCCGTGAACCGCAAGAAAGAGCGTTGAGATCAGCATTTTGTTGGTACAAGCATATGGAAGGTTGCGGAGTCAACGGAGACTACGCCCATCGTATGACAAAGAAGGAAGTTTGTTTGCCCAAACTTGACATTGATAGAAAAAGTGCTTGTATATATTAGTTACACCACCACGATAAAACGCGAGGCACCTCAACTAGCACACAGTATGCCTCTTGAGGACTTGTGCTGATCGATAACGGTCACATTACGATAATTATTCTCAATTAATTAACTTAACCATCTCATATTACTTCGATAAGCAACATTCACGGCTAGAATAGGGAATCATAGCGAAGCCTTTCTTGCACTGAGAGTCTTACTAGTAGTTTGCATGGCGACGTAGCACCAACATACTTCACTTGCCCCCTCGTCAATGTCAGCCGAGTCATCGAGATTGCTCGCCGTTTCCTCGTGAAGGTCAGCAGCTGACTCTCAGCTAAGTCAGTACTAAACTCTCAAGCTTTACCACGGAAGGTTATCAAACCAGTACAACGCAATGCGCACCATATCACCTGGCAGGGTATGAATAAAAGAAATCAGTACAGACAATCCCCTCGGCAGTCATTGCGCTAGGAGCGCCCAATTTATTCCTGTCTAAGGGTATTTCTATCCATAAATGTTGCACAAAAATGCATCCGAGTACAATTAGCTTGGTACAGTGCACAAAATTTACGCTTGATGTAGCTCATTACTGGTGTTTCACCCTGTTTTGTTCTGCTATGGTCGGTTTTGTCTCATCACACCAAGATACCCTCCTCTTTAGCCCAGCGAGTCCTACTGACACTCACCAACTCTCAGCGACTGCTGTATAAATATGCTAGCACCATGCTCACATCCCTAATATGAGCCAAACAGAGTTAGATTCACGGGCTCACAGAACTTCCTCTGATTCATCACTAGCAACGATCTGGTAGCTAGTCATGCACAAAGCGCTAGAGTCACCTCCGGTCTCGGAGTTAGCTGCAAAATTACGGTACGCGCTGCGCCATCATAAACTCGACTAGCTCCTTGCCAGTTGAATCTCCTGGTGTAAAGATAAGAGTGTCACTGTCACTCATGAGGCCATTAGACTGAACGCAAAACGATTATCCGTGATCCTAAAGCTCGGGTCACGTCTAAAGTGGTCAAAAGGATAGGCTTCATCGGTTCAACGTTCCGATCGGACTTGGCAGCAATAATGCTCTTGTGCAGTTATGACTACTGTTCCATAGTTAAGCACCCCAGAGTATATGACTTCAAATGCATTCCATTTTACAACTGAGGAGTGAGAGGGAATAATATATTGGGTTTCTATGTACCTTGTATCTAATTTATTGCTGTTGAGGAGTATTCCACGCCAAGGGATTACTACCGAGGGGATCGTCTGTATCACTAAAACCAGTTTTGTTGCAATAAAAAAACCGATTATTGGAGCTATCTACAAAAATATAATATGATTTGTATCAATGTTGGCAAAACA